GAGATTCCACTAGCACTGCATTGTCCATTCAGTCCTTTTCATCACAAAGCACCATTTTTGTATGTATCAGGATGTACACTGCTTGTTGAGATTCCACTAGCACTGCATTGTCCATTCAGTCCTTTTCATCACATTGCGGATCCTTGGCTATATATGTACATCGCCCAACTGGGCATGTAACAGCTAGCCTCTATGTGTTCATTTGATTCCACCAGGGTTTGAACTTTGAAACCATGATCTGTTCATTGAAAGTCACATGTTTTTATAACTTTGTACAAGTACGTGTGTGTACCATTCAGCCACGTGGGCTGGGTTGCAGACGTTAGTTTCTGACCGTTCTCCTTACTTTCTCTCGCAGTGGACAGTTGAACTGTTTGACTGGATCAGGAATGAAGTCTGCTCAGGATTGTGCAGAGGTGCTGTCCTCTCTCTCTGGATGTAAGTGTCAATATGATTTGGGATTTTTTTTACCTTGTGACTTGTCTTTTCCTTACTCCCATTCCTCTCGATCTGAACCTGTTGATCCACCACTACTTCTTATCTTTTTTTTCTTTTTTTTAAAAGCGATCCATTTCTTTTATTGATGTAAGTTCATGTAACTGGAAAACAGTCCAGCTCACCTTATATGAGCCCCACTCACCGCCTCCCTTCGTTATGGCCAAGGGACCTTGAGGTGCGGGATTTCCTTGTCCGGAATGATGTACCACCCACCTCTCAACCCCTGCTTTCTTTGCCCTTTTCTCTCCTGTGTTATGATCCTACTACATTCACAATGCAAAACTCAATTGCAAGAAAATGCAAGACTTGCTGAACTCAAAAGAAGTGGAGAGAGATAACGAGTAGAATAGAATGAAGAGAATAGAAACAGGAATTACACTTGTTGAACCGCAGTCTTTCCCCTCACTTCTTCTTCCCCTCGGCATCTTCTCCGTTACTTCTCCTCTTGTCATAATTGATTAAAGAAAGCAACAAATGAATGAATGAACAGGAATCATGTCTGAGTATTCCCCCTTACTACCAGCTTCTCTCACCCTTCTCCATTCCTTGCCATGAGGCGCTTCACCCTCTACCTCCATAGCCTAGGCCTACTCCCTCCTCCTACTACTGATGGCCATGGAGGTTTTCTTCTTCACCTCCAGCTCCACCGCTCAGCTGGAGGTGAAGAAGAAAACCTCCATGGCCATGGAGTAGTAGGAGGACACCAGCTTACTAGGGCCTACCAGAAATTCCTTTTTTTAGGCGGGAACATCTCTGCAGCCTGCAATCCATCTACTGCACCCGTATCTAGCCTAACACCAACCTAGATATGGGCCTGGACTCTCAGACTTCTTTTGGAGTCTACTGTAGCTACCCAGGCCTACCGGACTTTACTTGGGCCTACCCGAGTTGCTGGAAAATCCCTACCGGGCACCTGCTAAATTCTACCTTTGTTCCTGCTCATCCTGGCCTTTCTACCCAGCCTATCTGGTGTCCAATTTCAGTCCTGTCCTTGTAATTCTCCTATTTCGAAATTACCCCTTCCCGGCACACACAGAACGCAGGTTGAGCACACAGCTAGTACATCACATAGCAACATCACATTGGGATTTATACGCGCGCAAGCAGACAGCATTCTCACTCAGGACATGGAAATCTCAGCAAATCAAACCATCAAGCAGCAGTACGCAGAAAACAGTATAAATCTCAGATTGGTTCTGTGTCGGTCATTGTACCTATATCTCCTGGCTTAACTTTCACCCCCCTCGCACTCCGAATACCCTTTAAAAGCCTCCCTATTTATTTATCAATCCGAACCAGTGCCCCTCAGTCCATTATTGCAGACTGTTAAATCCGAGAGTAGAATCTAGGATGGTTCAGTCTGATGTCTAGGATGTGAGAGTTGTGTGGTATCTGTCCTGCTCTGTGTTTAACCCTGTGCAGTCGAAAGTTGGGTTTAGGCTTTGCCACAAACCTCCTTTTTGGATTATCCTTGCTAACATTGTTTCTGATTGCAAGACCTTAATACTTCTATATTCTAAGCATCTGTACTCACATCTTTTTCCATGCTTAGGAACAAGACGTCTATTCTCTGTGTGCTGGATCGATACCGGCTGGCCCGGTGAGACTTGCATCAATTTTCTGTTCTCCATGTAGCTGAAATACTGCTCCTTCGGTTTCTTGGTCAGAGTATACGCCTCCGTCAACTTCTTCCATCTGTTTACGACTCTCTATTTTCGCCACCTTTGAACAGCACAGACCGCACCTGAAATGGGCTGACGAACTGTCAGCTTGCCATCCCCCGGGGCCTCTTGGTCTTGGCTGAAGTTAAGGCTGTCAAAATCTGCTCTCTGATAGCTTCTCGAGGAGGTTGCAAGCTGATCTTCATTTTGGATCCCACTTTTTTTCATCTTAGCCTGGTGTCGTAGATCGGTGCCACTTTCCCGTCTAGTAGCCAGGCCTTGATGAAAATCCTTTTCTTGAAGACTGCCTCAACAGAACTAGGGTGCCCTGTGTTCTTGTCTTTTGCCATCTGCTTTTGATCTCCGTCTCGACCAACTGGATAAGGGAATTCCACACCTGGTCCTTGCCTGTTTCACTGCCTTCAATAGTCAGAGAGCACCTTCGTTAGCAGATGGTCCAGAGACCGTACTTCCTGAGCATCAGGTACCACCGTACCAGGTCCTCGAGGGACCTTTCAAGTAGGGGGGATTTGGATGTTGGGGGATGGTGAGCAGGGATAATCATGGTTTGGTCACTCTTGACTAGACTCAGATGTCGGCCGTGCATTTTATCAGGCAGTGCAGGGTTGCATCCCTGCCGACTGCCGACCCCGACCGCCGACCGTATTGCAGCCGACCAGTAGGGCCGACCGTTCGGCGGTCTGCCGACCAGCCAGAAAACAACCATCCACTGATTTTTTTTCAAATCTGAGTTGGGGACTGTACTGCGCTTGCTGAGTACAGCCCAAATCCGCTGAGTAACTTTTGGGGATGGGGGGGTTAGGGGGGGG